CATGACGCAAAAAAAGTGCAGAAACAAAAAGCCAAATCTGACCCATTCTACGCAAAACCCCAAAAACGGACCGGACAAAATTATTGGCACCTTCCATGTAATATTTGGTAGCATGCCCCTTGGAGAAAATACCTGAAATAAATGTCTTCCTGTGACCATCAATGAGTTCCTTCCACCTCTCCACTGGAATTTTGGATCGCTCTTCTTTCGCCAACTGCTCCAGGTCCCTCAGATTGGAAGGGTTCCTTTTCTCAGGTGCATTATGTGGGATCTATTATGTGGGGGTGCCAATATTTTTGGCCATGACTGTGTATGCTGTATGCCTATAAAAGGACAAAGGAATGTTAAAGTGACACTAAAGCTTTGGGTTTCCTTTTCTAAAATAACAAACACCTCTATACTTACCTGCTCTGTGCAGTGGTTTTCAACAGAGCAGCCCAGATCCTCTTCTTTTTAGGCCCCCGCCAGCACTCCTGGCTCCTCCCCCTTAGGCAGTGCCCACAGGAAAAGCCCTTCACCCTGGGGGCACCGCTGCGTGCTCATCCCCAAGCTGCAACTTTATTAGCCCATAAGACACATAAAGCCGTGGCTTGGCTCCACCCCCCGCTCTCTCCTCATTGGCTCACTGGTTGTCATTGACAGCAGGGGGAGCCAACTGCACTTGAAGGTTTCACAGTTTATTTTCCTTTAGTAAATCAACCCCCAAGGCTAGATTGGAATTTATTTATTACCAACAGGAAATCAGTAACTGATACCAACAGATACCAATTTTGTATAAAATAATAAATAACTGGAGGACCAAATGTCTCTTCACCAGAACCAGAAAACCAGGGAGGTCCTAATAAAAGGCCGGTACTGGGAACTAAAGGTCCATCAGTCTCTCTGAATCCCTCCCACTGGCCAGTGTATTGGTAATCGTTGGGGCCCAACTTGCAGGGTTGGAGCGCTCAGACTTGAATAGATCCCACAATAACAAGCGTAAGCATGCAAACTGTACCATGAAAATAAGTGACACTGTCCCTTTAAGAAGTGGACAGAAGGTTGTGGCCAGCGGCCTCTCACCACCAAATGAGCTGTAATTACACCTCCTCCCGCTCTCTATCTGGGCCCGGTATTTCGGCTGTGACTCTGGAAATGACAATCTCTCACAGTACTGGTGACCTCAGCAGTGGCTCCGGACCTGGCAGTGGCATTCTCTCATAGTTGTGACCTCTTTGTAGACATGGCAGCAGAGTCTTTATCTCCGACACAGCAACTCATATGGATAGTCCTCTCTCACTATCCCCATGCAACTGCCCCAATCCTGGGTTTCTCCTGCCTTTTCCTCCTCCAGATCCCTCTCCTCCTGGGACTTGTGGTTCCATTCCATCCTTGGCATAATAGAAAGATGTCTTCTTGGAACTACATTTTTTTTTTCATAGTCACTTTGACTAGGATCACATTGTAATGGCTAGATGACTGAGTCAGAGTAACTTCAAAACTGCAGCTCTTATTGGATGTTCCCGGGTTGAGATGGTCAGGACTGACCAAAAATGGTCCAAGGAAGAAAAACTGGCCAAATGGCAACAGGATCATAGGCAGCCAAAGCTCATTGATAGACACCAGGAGCAAAGGTTGGCCTGTGTAGTCCGATCCAATAGAAGAGTTACTGGAGGTCAAATTGTTGAAAAAGTGAATGCTGGTTCTGATATAAAGGTGTCAGAACACACAGAGCATTGCAGTATGTTGTGTATGGGGTTGTGTAGTCGCAGACTGGCTAGGGTGCCCATGTTGACCTGTGTCCACAGCCAAAAGCTCCTACAATGGATACGTGAGCATCAGAACTGGACCACGGAGCAATGGAAGAAGGTGTCCTGGACTGATGAATTTAGGAATGGTTTGAAGAACACAACAACGAGTTGGAGGTGTCGACTTGGCCTCCAAATTCTCCAGATCTCAATCCAATCAAGCATCTGTGGGATGTGCTGGGAAAAAAAGATCCAATCCATAGAGGCCCCACTTCACAACTCACAGGACTTAAAGGATCTGCTACTAACGGCTTGGTGCCAGGTACTACAGAATACCTTCAGAGGTCTAGTGGAGTCCATTTCTCAACGGGTTATGTTGGGTGGTCATAACGTTTGACTGATCTGTGTGTATTTTTTTAGCCATTAGAATGCAACTCATCAACATTTGTGTCCAGTTGTTATCCAGTGTTATACACCATTCTTCATATTAGCTAATATTTGAATACTGGCGGAAATTTGTATTTGTAATTTGAAGCCCTGAAGAAGGGCTTTCAACCCTAAAATGCTTTGGCTTTTTATGATACAAGAGTTTAAATAACTCAGATCTGGACTCTTCTGGTGCTTTCCTTACCACACACCAAGCAGTAAAAACCTGATGGGTTCTAACCCTTTCACACTACTCAAATCTAAAATAAAATGGTTTTAGATACATTTTACAAACAGAAAAATTCTGCCTTTTGCTTTCTTATCAGACGAAATGGAGAAATGAGGTGTCAGGGTCAGGAGCTCCAGACCTCTGTGTAGGGTTTCCACATTGCTTCTAATCTAGATATCAGTTCTCCTCCTCATCATTCTTAGGACAGCTCATTTAAATGCTGTGTTATCTGATGGACGAGGACCCACCACCAGGCTTCTCCAAGTCCATCTAGTCCTTTTCCCTTTCTTATAGTCCAATTGAGCTTTTAGTTTAAATTTGCCAAAACATTTCAGGAGCATCAAAACAAAAGTTGTACAAAGTTACAGATCATTTTCTTTAGAAAACAGCCACAACCTGAGTAGAAATGCTTATGACCTGCCAGCATTCTGTGGAGAAGGACCCTTGCTCTTTCCGTGGAAGCAGTGGTCTTTCTGTAGTGACTTTGCCTATACCTGAGATGATGTCATCAGTCTGCTGCGGGCAGGTGGAAGCATTTAATTTGTGAATACAGCCCATAATTGCACAGGCACCGGGATTTATATGATTGTCTCATCTCTGAGTAAGCATCTCAGTCCAGGAAGTAGATGGTGAACATGGATGATGCCTGAACAAAGATGAAGACATTGCCAGGCTGTGGAGTTAAGGTGGGAAAAATAGTTAGTGGAGTGAAAATGTTTTCTGAGCCTTGTGGGAGAACTAGGTCCTCACCCAGGAACATGTGAATGTTATGTGAATCGGCATTTCCCTTCGGAGGAATGCTGTCTGCACCATTCCTTGTTGGTTCCACCAGGAAAACTGAAAAATTCTAAGGAGAGAATGGCTTGTTAGTAGGCAAAAAAAACAAACTTTTCCAACCATGAAAAATGGAACTAAACTTAAAATGGACTGTTTTATAAACCTTCCTTCAGTGAAGAGAAGTTCAGGGTTAGAATTCAAAGGAGAAAACTTGGTTAGGAAACTGGTAGTGGCCAGGAGAAGGAGGGTCAACTAGTCTGGTGGTAGCCATGAGAAGGAGGGTCGGCCAGTCTGGAGGTGGCCAGATGTTGGAGAGTTGGCTGAACTGGTGGTGGCCAGGAGAAGGAGGGGTGGCCAGTCTGGTGGTGGCCAGAAGAGGGAGGGCCAGCCAGCCTGGTGGTGACGAGGAGAAAAAGGGTTGCCCAGCTTGGTGGTGGCCAGAAGAGGGGGGGGAGGGCCAGCCAGCCTGGTGGTGGTGAGAAGGAGGGTTGGCCAGCCTTGCGGTGGCCAGGAAAAGGAGAGTCAGGCAGCCTGGTGGTGGCCAGGAGAAGGAGTGTCGTCTAACCCGGGTGGTGGTGGTGATAAGTCCCTTGTCTGCACCACAAGTTTTGAAGCCCCATCTCCTGTGTTTTTTGGCCCAGGTCTTTGTTTCAACCCCCAACTATGCTGTAACAAGAAAATGTATTCCTTCTTTCAGTAAAAAAGACGTTCAGGAAAAGAAGTACGGAGACTTGGTTAGGAAACTGGTGGTGGCCAGGAGAAAGAAGGGCAGTCAGGCTGGTGGTGACAAGGAGTTGGAGGGTCAGCCAGCTTGCTGGTGGCCAGGAGAAAGAGGGTCAGCCAGCCTTGTGGTGGCCAGGAGAAAAAGGACCGGCCAGCCTAGTGATAGCCAGAAGGAGAGTCGGCCATCCTGGTGCTGGCCAGGAAAAAGGAGGGGCAGGGAGCCTGGTGGTGGCCAGGAGAAGGAGTGTGGGCCAGCCTGGTGGTGGTGGTGATGAGTCCCTTGGCTGCACCACAAGCCTTTTAGCCCCATCCCCACTACTGAGCTCAACTGCAGCAGGGGAAGCACACTGCACTGCACAAGTGAGAAGTTTGAATAGCCCTCTGCATCCTGCCATTTGCAGGTCAGGCTGGACATGAAAATGTGGGCTCCTCAGTAGCCGATCTGGGCCATTCTGAGTTCATCCAGAGAAGGAGAGAGTGCACTATGCACTGGCACTGAATGGCCAGGAGTGGCTGCTACTGAGCTCAGTTGGAGCTGGGACAGCACACTGCAAAACATACAGCTTGAACTGCCTGGAGCAGCCACTAAGGGGAGCACAATGATACTGTCCTGCTGACCCTGCAAATGGCAAGATGGAGGGGGATCAAGGGTCTGGTGTTTTTTATGGAGTGCCCCCCCCCCCCCCCCCAACTGACTGATGCATGTGTAATGGGAGGACACATAGCATTTAAAACAGGAGGAGCCCCGGTGGGGTACTCTAAGGAGAATATGGAATTGCATTTTGAGGATTTTGGGAAAATCTTGCTAAAGGTGAACTAACACTTTAAGGCACAAAGTATAAATACGTAAATGAGGATCAGATCTGAGCATTGTTTTGGTTGGACATGTAAGTTTGATGCAATCAGTGTATTGGCTGTACCAGTATTATTAGTATTATACAGGATTTATATAACGCCAACAGTTTTGCTCAGCGCTGAACAATATAAACCAGAAGGTCAACCTTTCTCAACTAGAGTTCTGTGGAACTCCAAAGTTCCTCTAGAGGTTGCTAGGGGTTTCTTGAGTAATGAGCAATTTCCCATTTTCTCATGAGTAACCACTGACGCCACTGATCTATTTAGCTATTTGTAAAGAGGGATTCTTCCCACTGATCCCCAATGTAAGGGACATTTCTTCCCACTGACCCCCAATGTAAGGGACATTCTTCCCCCTGATCCCCAATGTAAGGGACATTCTTCCCACTGATCACCAATGTAAGGGACATTCTTCTCACTGACCCCCCCAATGTAATGGACATTTCTTCCCACTGATCCCCAATGTAAGGGACATTCTTCCCACTGATCACCATGTAAGGGACATTCTTCCCACTGACCATAAAAGCCCCCCATGTTAGGGACATTCTTCCACACTGACCACCAATGTAAGGGACATTCTTCCCACTGACCACCAATGTAAGGGACATTCTTCCCACTGACCACCAATGTAAGGGACATTCTTCCCACTGACCCCCCATGTAAGGGACATACTTCCCACTGACCACCAATAAAAGGGACATTCTTCCCACTGACCTCCACAATGTAAGGGACATTCTTCCCACCACTGACCACCAATGTAAGGGACATTCTTCCCACTGACCACCAATGTAAGGGACATTCTTCCACTGACCCCCAATGTAAGGGACATTCTTCCCACTGACCCCCAATGTAAGGGACATTCTTCCCACTGATCCCCAATGTAAGGGACATTCTTCCACTGATCATCAATGTAAGGGACATTCTTCCCACTGATCACCAATGTAAGGGACATTCTTCCCACTGACCCCCCAATGTAAGGGACATTCTTCACACTGACCCCCCCAATGTAAGGAACATTCTTCCCACTGATCACCAATGTAAGGGACATTCTTCCCACTGATCACCAATGTAAGGGACATTCTTCCCACTGACCCCCAATGTAAGGGACATTCTTCCCACTGATCACCAATGTAAGGGGCATTCTTCCCACTGACCCCAATGTAAGGGGCATTCTTCCCACTGATCACCAATGTAAGGGACATTGTTCCCACTGACCCAAAATGTATATAAAATAATAATAATATAAAGGGGACATTGTTCCCATGACCCCATATGTAATAAATATAAATAAAATTATAACATATATAATGGGACATTTTTCCCACTGACCCCCCATATAAGGGACATTCTTCCCACTGACCCCCCAATGTATGGGACATTCTTCCCACTGACCCCCAATGTAAGGGACATTCTTTCCACTGACCCCCAATGTAAGGGACATTCTTCCCACTGACCCCCAATGTAAGGGACATTCTTCCCACTGATCACCAATGTAAGGGACATTCTTCCCACTGATCACCAATGTACGGGACATTCTTCCCACTGACCCCCAATGTAAGGGACATTCTTCCCACTGACCCCCAATGTAAGGGACATTCTTCCCAATGACCCACCAATGTAAGGGACATTCTTCCCACTGACCCCCAATGTAAGGGACATTCTTCCCACTGATCACCAATGTAAGGGACATTTTCTTCCCACTGATCACCAATGTAAGGGACATTCTTCCCACTGACCCCCCCCCAATGTAAGGGACATTCTTCCCACTGGCCCCCAATGTAAGGGACATTCTTCCCACTGACCCCCAATGTAAGGGACATTCTTCCCACTGGCCCCCAATGTAAGGGACATTCTTCCCACTGATCACCAATGTAAGGGACATTCTTCCCTCTGACCCCCCAATGTAAGGGGCATTCTTCCCACTGACCCCCCAATGTAAGGGACATTCTTCCCACTGACCCCCAATGTACGGGACATTCTTCCCCACTGACTCCCCATGTACAGGACATTCTTCCCACTGACCCCCAATGTAAGGGACATTCTTCTCACTGACCCCCAAATGTAAGGGACATTCTTCCCACTGACCCCCAATGTAAGGGACATTCTTCCCACTGATCCCCAATGTAAGGGACATTCTTCCCACTGACCCCCAATGTAAGGGACATTCTTCCCCACTGACCTCCAATGTAAGGGACATTCTTCCCACTGACCCCCATGTAAGGGACATTCTTCCCACTGACCCCCAATGTAAGGGACATTCTTCTCACTGACCCCCAATGTAAGGGACATTCTTCCCACTGACCCCCCAATGTAAGGGACATTCTTCCCACTGATCACCAATGTAAGGGACATTCTTCCCACTGACCCCCAATGTAAGGGACATTCTTCCCCACTGACCTACAATGTAAGGGACATTCTTCCCACTGACCCCCCAATGTAAGGGACATTCTTCCCCACTGACCCCCAATGTAAGGGACATTCTTCCACTGACCCCCCAATGTAAGGGACATTCTTCCCACTGACCCCCCAATGTAAGGGACATTCTTCCCACTGACCCCCAATGTAAGGGACATTCTTCCCCACTGACCCCCAATGTAAGGGACACATTCTTCCCACTGACCTCCAATGTAAGGGACATTCTTCCACTGACCACCAATGTAAGGGACATTCTTCCCCACTGACCCCCAATGTAAGGGACATTCTTCCCACTGACCCCCCAATGTAAGGGACATTCTTCCCACTGACCCCCCAATGTAAGGGACATTCTTCCCACTGACCCCAATGTAAGGGACATTCTTCCCACTGACCCCAATGTACGGGACATTCTTCCCACTGACCCCCAATGTAAGGGACATTCTTCTCACTGACCCCCAATGTAAGGGACATTCTTCCCACTGACCCCAATGTAAGGGACATTCTTCCCACTGACCCCCAAAGGGACATGTACGGGACATTCCTCCCACTGACCACCAATGTAAGGGACATTCTTCCCACTGACCCCCAATGTAAGGGACATTCTTCCCACTGACCCCCAATGTAACGGGACATTCTTCCCACTGACCCCCAATGTAAGGGACATTCTTCCCACTGACCCCAATGTAAGGGACATTCTTCCCACTGACCCCCCCCATGTACGGGACATTCTTCCCACTGACCATCAAGCTAATGTACCACAAGTATTACTTATTATCTAGGGGGTCCCTGAGACCACAGAGTTCATTTCAGGGTTCCTCTGTGTTACAAAGGCTGGGGAAAGGCTGCCGATGACATCATAATATCTTCAGATCTGCTGCGATGGGTTCTCACGAAATTCCGTCACCGTAACCCAAGGCGAACGTTCGCCCCAACCGCAACATTGTTTCCCTTTAAATCTTCTGCCGCTATTTTTGGAAGCCTTTTTTTTCTTCTTCTCCTGAAACTGCAGGTGACAAGACTTGTTAAAATGTGAGTTTTAAAAATTATCTGCAGCAGATGGGGATGAGATCAGTTGCTCGCATGTAGGTGGAAAATCTGTGCTGAAGTCATCAGCGCTCCCCTGTGTAATCCTACCTGTGTTAGGCTGCGGGGAGATCTGTTTTCTTACTGCGATGTGATATTGAGAAACAAAACAAATCAGCGAGGGTAAGCGGTATCGCAGACCGGGAAATCGGTGTCAATGCGTTTAAATAAGACATGCAAAGCAGACCATCGGCCCGGCTTCCAAGAAACATGGTTTTCACATTAAAATAAAAAAAAAAAAAAGAGAGAAAGAAAAAAATGAATATTCAGAGATGCTAATGGTTTTATCGACATGGAAAAAGAATGTCGTTTTTAGAAGGGATTTGCTGTGTGATTGTATCTTTTGTATCGTTTAATAGGCTGTTGGCTGAGCCGGCCGAAGAGAATGTGTGAAATGTCGCTTTTAATAATTGTCTGTTAATCTACGGCCCCCGGCGCTCTGCAGATGAATGTCTGTCGCTTGGCTACAATTATCAACGATTTTATCAGAAAAATTTCCTATCCAGAGATACTACAATCCCGAATCCTTCATTCTTCTCAAACCTCCAGAAATCAGCGTTCATTCTCCGTGATGTCATCGCTCTCTAGTGATTGGATAGGCTGCATTCTCAGTGATGTCACTGCTCTCTAATGATTGGATAGGCTGCATTCTCCGTGATGTCATCGCTCTCTAGAGATTGGATAGGCTGCATTCTCAATGATGTCACCGCTCTCTAGTGATTGGATAGGCTGCATTCTCGGTGATGTCATCGCTCTCTAGTGAATGGATAGGCTGCATTCTCAATGATGTCACCGCTCTCTTAGTGATGGATAGGCTGCATTCTCCGTGATGTCATCGCTCTCTAGTGAATGGATAGGCTGCATTCTCAATGATGTCACCGCTCTCTAGTGAATGGATAGGCTGCATTCTCGGTGATGTCATCGCTCTTTAGTGATTGGATATGGTGCATTCTCAGTGAGGTCACCGCTCTCTAGTGATTGGATAGGCTGCATTCTCAGTGATGTCATCGCTCTCTAGTGAATGGATAGGCTGCATTCTCGGTGATGTCACCGCTCTCTAGTGATTGGATAGGCTGCATTCTCAGTGATGTCACCGCTCTCTAGTGATTGGATAGGCTGCATTCTCGGTGATGTCATCGCTCTCTAGTGATTGGAGAGGCTGCATTCTCAGTGATGTCACCGCTCTCTAGTGATTGGATAGGCTGCATTCTCTGTGATGTCATCGCTCTCTAGTGAACGGATAGGCTGCATTCTCAGTGATGTCATCGCTCTCTAGTGATTGGATAGGCTGCATTCTCAGTGATGTCACCGCACTCTAGTGAAGAAGTACGCCTCCACTGTACAGTCACAAGGCTCCCATGTGGATGTAAAGCTGGGTTTCCTGAACACGTCCTCTTCCCAGGTGTTTCTCCTCCCCCGGTCCTCGCTCTGTACTGGTCTTCGCTCCCTCTTATCACTCATGCGTTGCTTGGCACGGCCCGCTTTCCTTGCAGATTTCATACAGAAGACGATGTCATCGGCCCCCTCGGGGGTTTGGACCACAGCTGGGTTCTGGCACTTTTTGCATCCACAGAATTGTTAACACAAACAGAAAATAAAAATTCTGGGAAAAAAGAAGCCGGCTCTTATAAATGCAGAAAAGAAAATCGCCAGAAAACAAAACAGACAATCAAAGGAGCCCGGCTCATGTAACAAACGGCTTTCTCTCTTTTTTCTTTTTGTTAGATGAAGGATCTTTTAAACCTCATTTGAATAATATCCGACGGAGATGTTTTCTTTGAAACCGCGCTCAATGTAAATACGTCTTATTGCCGGGAAGCATTTGTTTGTATTTGGTGGAAGTTTTTTCCTCTTTAGTTCTTGGCAGCTGAAATGTACGATGATGTCATTGCGTGAAGGGGATATTTTTCTGGTCTTCCTGCACAGCATGGGGCAGAGGAACTACAGAGAAAAAGAAAGAAGAAAGAAGAAGAAAAAGAAAGAAGAAGGAAGAAGAGAAGGAGGAGGAAGAGGGGGGACAAGAAGGAGGGACAAGGAGGAGGAGGAAGAGGGACAAGGAGGAGGAGGGACGAGGAGGAGCAAGGGACGAGGGGAAGGAGAAGGAGGAGGAGGGATGAGGAGTAGGGGGGATGAGGGACAAGGAGGAGGGGGGACGAGGAGGAGGAAGAGGAGGAAAAGGAGAAGAAGGAGAAGGAAAAAGAGGAGGGGGAGGAAAAGGAGGGGGGGGAGGAGGAGGAGGAAAAGGAGAAAATAGAATGAGGAGAAGGGGGGGGAGGGGAGGAGGAGGAGAAGAAGGAAGAGGAGGAGGATAAGGGGGAGGAGGAGGAGGAGAAGGAGGATAAAGGGGAGGAGGAGGAGAAGAAGAAGGAGGAGGAGGAAAAGGAGAAGAAGGAGAAGGAAAAAGAGGAGGGGGAGGAAAAGGAGGAGGGGGAGGAGGAGGAGGAAAAGGAGAAATAGAATGAGGAGAAGGGGGGGGGGAGGAGGAGGAGAAGAAGGAAGAGGAGGAGGATAAGGGGGAGGAGGAGGAGAAGGAGGATAAAGGGGAGGAGGAGGAGAAGAAGAAGGAGGAGGAGGAAAAGGAGAAGAAGGAGGAGGAAAAGGAGGAGGGGGAGAAGGAGGAAGAAGAGGAGGAGGAGGGGGATAAGGGGGAGGAGGAGGAGAAGAAGGAGGATAAAGGGGAGGAGGAGGAGGAGGAGGAGAAGAAGAAGGAGGAGGAGGAAAAGGAGAAGAAGGAGGAGGAGGGGGAGAAGGAGGAAGAGGAGGAGAAGGAAGAGGAGGGGGGGAGAGGAAAAGGAGAAGGGGGAAAAGAAAATGAGGAGAGGGAGAAGGAGAGGAAGAATGAGAAAGAAGAAGAAGGAGGAGGAGAAGGAAAAAAGGAAGAGAAGGAAAGGAGGAGGAGAAGGTGGAGGGGGAGAAGGGGTGGGGGAGTGGTAGAAGGAGGAGGAGAAGGAAAAGGAGTGGGAGGGAGAGAAGGAGGAGGAGAAGGAAAAGGAGAAAGAGAATGAGGAGAAGGGGGAAAAGGAGAAGAAAGAGAAGGAAAGGGAGGAGGGGGAGAAGGAAGAGGAGGAGGAGAAGGAAGAGGAGGAGGAGAAGAAGGAGAAGGAGACAGTGAAGGAGAACGGTGAGGAGGAGAAGGAAAAAAGAGGAAAAGGAGAAGAAGGAGAAGGAAAAGGTGAAGAAGGAGAAGGAAAGGGAGGAGGGGGAGAAGGAGAATGAGCAGGAGGAGAAGGAGACTGAGGAGGAGGAGAAGGAAGAGGAGGAGGAGAAGGAAGAGGAGGAGGAGAAGAAGGAGAAGGAGACAGTGAAGGAGAAGGATGAGGAGGAGAAGGAAAAAGAGGAAAAGGAGAAGAAGGAGAAGGAAAGGGAGGAGGGGGAGAAGGAGAATGAGCAGGAGGAGAAAGAGACTGAGGAGGAGGAGAAGAAGGAGAAGGAGACAGTGAAGGAGAAAGAGGAGAAGGAGGAGCAGGAGGAGAAAAGAAAAGTTGCTGCACAATGCTGCCCATCTTCTGCCCATCTATTTGTTTTGGTCAGTTTTATATTGCTCAGTAATCCTTTCATTCTCCCAAAAAGTATTAGAATTCGTTTTCACCGTTATTGCAATTTCTATCTGCAAAATATATGATTTGCATTTTTTTTTAGTGAAAGTTAAAGCTGTACTCCAGAATAGGTAAATATGGGTCATGTGTCTTCTTCATGAATTGTGTATTTCTCCCAGATCTGGGCCATCATCCAGGGTGAGACTTCCTGGAATTAAGACTGCCCACTGCTGCCCTCTCTCCTTGTGCAGGGGGACTGGTCTTGTCTCCGCCCCCTCCTGTAGTTTTCAGCCTGAAGTATGTGAAGATTACTGGGCCCCTCCTAGAGCTTTGCTCTCTCCCCCTAACC